TTTTTACAAACTCTCTTTGGATCTGTATTTCTGGGAATATCTTGATCTCTCCTTCATATTTGATGGATAATTTTGCTGGGTACAGTATTCTTGGTGGACAGTTGTATTCTTTGAGTGTTTGATATATGTACTTCCACTCTCTTCTTGCTTGCATGGTTTTCTGCAGAGAAATATGCACTTAATCTTATCTACTCTTTGTTTCTTCCTTCTTGCTTTCAGGATTCTCTCCTTATCAGGGGTTCTGACAAACTTAACTATGATATGCTTTGCTGTTTTTTCTTTTGGAGTCTAATCTATATGGTGTTTGTTGAGCTTCGTTAATATATATTCTCTCTTTCTTCATTACGCCTGGGAAGTTTTCCTCTAGTAATTCTTCCACAACGTTTTCAGTGCCTTTACTTGCTTCTTCCTGTTCTGGAATTCCAATGATGCACATGTTATTTCTCTTGATAGTGTCCCACACTATTCTTAGCTTTTCTTCTTTTTCTTTTTTTGAGTCTGCTTTTTGCTCTAGCAGATCAGTGGTGACAATTCTGTTTTCTATTTCATTGGTTCTGTGTTCCATCTCTTCAACTCTTCTCATGTGTCCCTCCATCATGTTGACAGCATCTGAAACACTGGACCTTATATTTTGAACAGTGGTTTCTTGTTTTTCCAATGTCGCTAATGCCTCGTTTGTTTTCTCTACGTTGTTCTGGATGTTGTTGGGGTTTTTTTTGTTTGTTTGTTTGTTTTTTAGCTCATCTTGGTTTTTGCTTGTAATATCCTGTAATTCTTCAAGTGTGTCTTTCATCCATTGAAAATATTTAATCATTTTTCTTTTAAATTCTGTCAGAGAGTTCCATTAGCCTTCCTGGCTTCAGGAAATCCAGTGATACTGTGTCACCCTTTGGGCGTGACATCTTGTTTTGTGCTAGTGTAGTGTGTGGAATACATTTCTTTCTTTGAGACACTGGTATGTTCTTGATCTGAAGACAATGCTCTAGAGATCAGCTGGGGAGCTACCCTACTTGTGTTTTTCTCTGAACTTCTGAATCCAGGGAAATGTCAGTTGAGAGCCTGTCAGAGTAGCCTCCTCTAGGTCAGACAGGTCATGGTGCTCCGGATTAAAGGCAAGTTGATTGACCAGACATGTAGGCACAGGTGTGGAGCTAAATGGGGTGGAACAGGCATGAGAGTGAGGCAATCAACCACTTGGGGGACCTCACTCAGGCCTCAACTGTCCAGGTGTGCTCACGACTGGGGTTCCTAACCAAATTTCAGCT